TAGATTTTGGTTTATAACAGCATGTTCTACTATCATGGCCTGGTAGGTTTTTTTTTTTTTTTACTTTTACCAAGCAATTTAATAAATAGTCCTATTCGTTTATCTATTTCATATTGTTATGATTTAATATTTAATTGACCAACATATATTCTTCAAGAATTTCAAAATCAACGTCAACACTTGTCACACCGTTGCTACACAAAAGGTTTTATTTCAAACTTAAGGTTAAAAATTAAGTGTAAAGCTTAAAAAATATATATTTAGTAGAACAACAGATCTCATCAATTCGCATTTGTTTAATATCTTTAATATTATCTCTATAATTCTGCAAGCAAAAATTATCGCTTTCGTTTCACTGCAACTGTTAGAACTTCAAGACACCATGATGTGTTCGCAATCAGATGTACATACTTAGCCAAAATGCCCCAAGTTAGAATTTTTTTATTGAATGTTTTGTTTTTTTACATATTTAATGCTTGATATGATCTTTTTTATGAAGCAATTATCTAACAGATCTCCAACCTTTTTCTTACTTTTTAAACACGCCTCAAAAAATATTTTCTAACTCAAGAAGTTTAATATTTGTAACACATAATGTTAGATAATTCATCTACACATTGTAAATCATTGAGTTTAGGAATCTCTGAAATATTAGTATATTTTAAAATAATGAATACATACAATTCTTAACTTAAAGATACAAACATGCAATATTGCAAAAATATCCTTATTACGTATACGTTAAAATTAACTAAGTATTATTGCTGGTACTAGAGAAAAGTATGTAAAAACATTTCAAAACGAATACATATAATACGAAATAAAAGCTAAATATTTACAATAATCTCAAATATTTTTTAAAACTTTTCATTAAAGCACAATTTTTCAAAGAAATTTGAATCAAAAACTTAGAATACATACTTTATCCAATTCTGATTTTGAAGAACACGTTTCACCAATTTTTATTTCTGTTTGATCAAAAACAGATGTCTCTTCTGGAAGCGGATCACGTGGTTCTACATTAAAATTATAAAGAAAAATTATTACAGGTGCCAAAGATAAATTTAAAATACCAACAAAAAAGAACTATTTCAAACAAAATACTAATAATTTCATTCATCTCATATATCTTTTAAATTATATTTTCACATAAGTTAATAATGATATTTACGTATTATTTGCTCAGACTAAATAAATTCTTTGGTTAGTACAATCTTAAGAAATAAATTTGTGAAGTGGTTTTTCATCAATTAGCAACGAGAGTTTGTGGAAGTACAACAACAATAGCATTAAAAACTAAATTTTTTTAAGACTTTAAAAGCTTATCATCTGAAAAATGAACTTTAAGAATAACATTCATAGACTTCATAGATGAAGATATGACTGAAAGCTACATTAAGACGAGTAGATGTCGAAATATATTTATTACATCTCACGAATTCATTCAAAGTATTGGTAAACAACTGTAACAAACTAATAAGCAAATGAAGCGTGAACTTGTATAAGAGAATTCAACACAATGCAGTTTAATAGTTTAAAACTTAACGATTTCTTAAAAGTAGTATTAATATTAATAAAATATTGGGTAAAAAAAAACCCAAAGTTTTACCAAGATTATAAAAATTTATTACAAAATAATTTAATATAATAATGTAACTTTTGTATTATTAGATAGCTCAAATTTAGTAGAGGTTTTCTTAAGTAAATGACGCGAATGCTCTTTCAAGAGTGTCTAAGAGGTACGTTTGTAAGGAAGCAGTGGCGTAACGCATTGCGGGGGCCCAAAGCCTGACTGCCGCCAAGTACCTACCCTTTGTAAAATCCAACTTGGGGGCCAAAACCTGACTTTTCAGAGGGTCCCAACTGTTCTCCGTTACGCCACTTTAAGGAAGACATAATTTTTTTGTCCTCTGCGTTATATTTCAGACAACTCAATAGATAATTGCCTAAAATACACATTAATATTCAAATACATCAAAATTTAAATAAGTAATATAAATCGATTAAGGAAAAACTTACTTGGTATTACTGTATATTTGTTTTCATCACTTTTCACTATTTTAAGAATGGGTAATCTCTCCCGAGTCGAATCTGTAAAGAAATATACTTTGATAAGAAAAAGCATTAAAAACATACATGATTCAATATTAAAAAGCACTCCCACAAGGCTCATTTTCCCAGAAGTTGATCTTATGAAAAAGTAGCATTTATAATAGACAAACGGAAGATAAATTGAGAATATCAGGGAAAACGAAGATAGCTTTAATCTAGTCCAGAGGTCTTTAAACTGTGTTCCACGGAACCCTGGGGTTCCACAAGTCACAATAAAAAAATCGAAAAGAAACTTATAAATATGTATGCAAAATTGATTCACGTTCTCTACGAAGTTTGTATGATTAAAAGTATCTAATGTTCATCCCCTATTAATTAAAATTGAAAATTTTATTTACATATATTAACTTTATTTTGCACAATTCTTTTTAACTTTTATTAAAGTATAAAATTAATATTAAAACGTTTTATCTTTATATATATACTTCCTACTAGACAGTGAATATTCTATTGTCTTTATACTCGTTAGTTAGCACAATGTGTTTGAAAACTAAATAGATTTCTAACAGAAAATGCACCTTTTTGCATTTGTGGGGAAAAAAACTATAATGAAGAAATCTATCAACAATAATCAACAGATTCGATGTTAAAATCTAAATTTAAGCAAGCATAGCTGCTAAATTTTAGGTTGCAAATTCATGCAAAATGCACAATATTTCTCACACAGCTATGAATATTTTAATGCCATTCAGAACATAATGTGTAAGGGAAATATATTTCTTAACTGTGGCTACAAAAACAAAACATAAAAATAGATCTGAAAAAATACTCCGAATATGTAATAAATACACTTGCATTTAATCTCAAAAGACCCAGACCGACAATTTGTGCGAAAAAAAAGCAAGCACATATCCCAGTTGCTAAATATAATGCCTGAGTAGGTGACACTTGGATCATAAATTCATATTATAAATGCGTAAATTATGTTTCAAAAATTAGATTATAATTTTTTAAATTATAAATACAATACTTTTTTTAAAATTACCTTTACATAAAGTATCCATAACATGTGTCTTAATCTACTTCAAATATTATTTTGAGATATATCCTTCTAAGTATCTAAATGGAATGGGGTTCCATGAAAACACTTTCTAGCTCTAGGGGTTCGACAAAAACACCTACAAGTTCTAGGGGATCCATGAGTTGAAAAAGTTTGAAGACCACGGATCTAGTCCATCAAAGCAATTTGTTTTTTCTTTTTTCATCCATTTATTACTTAAATAAGTTTCCTTTAAAAAAACGAGAAAACCTTAAATATTCAACTTTCTAATTAAAACAAAAACTAAAATAAAGGCAAAAATGTTTTTAAAACAATCAGAATATATATAAAAAAAAATCTTCAATTACAATTGTTCCAAGAAAAATACTAGCTATGTGGGAATATTAAGAAATAGGACAAAAACTTCGACTATAGTACAAAGAAAAGTTACGAAATATGAGTTCGGTGCCTGCAAAATAATATTAGACGTAAAAACAATTTCTTCTTATCTAATTGTACTCGTATATTGAAATAAACTGCTGATTACATGAAATTTATTTATAATGCGTTATGAAGAAATGAATCTATATCAAACTAAAACACAAATTTATCAAACATATTTTCAAGGAGTTAAGACAGTTTAACTTTAAAAAAAGTTGAAAACAAATAATTTGGTATTGCTGTACAAAGACTAAATTTTTTTTAAGAGTAGAGATTTTAAAAGATAATGAGTTTTTGGCAATAAAGTAACAAAAATAAGTTTTTCTTTCCAATAAGGCTGTGGATTGGTAATTACCATTGCAGATCTAGATCATTTTCCGGGAGCTGGTATCACTTTTAGTGTGGCACCATAAACGTGAAAATCAATTGCCACAACGTAATTTTGACACCCAGCTTCTCCCCAAAGAGAGGAACCTGAGCTCTGACGGTGGGAAACTGTTGCAGGAATTTAATTTTGCCGAGAGCCCTCAAGCCAAACAGGCACTCTAGGGATCCTTAACATATCGCATAATCAAATGAAATGGACGCTGTCGATTTTTTGCATCATTAAAGTCCACTGACTTGGGCCGGGGTCGAACCCGTAAACTTCGGCGTACGAGGCCAGCACCACTACGCCTCCCACCCGGCGACGGGTAAGATTATCATAAAGAAACCCATAAACAACAAAGAATGATGCTTACATCGAAATCCCAAGCAGTCAATTAAAACAGGAGTTCGATTACGGCTTAAGACGAAAATTTGGATTTAACTAAAAGATGAAAAAGTTATCAACAGAACTAATCAGTAATTTTGATTGAATTCCAGTAAAAAGTTTTTAAGCCTCCAGATAATCAGTGATCAGCTCCTAACCTACTTGTAGATGATAAATAGCACATTGTTATTGAATCTCAGTATTCAACAAAAGGTACATATTTAAGAAAACAATGCAAAAGAGAAAAGAATAGCTTGCATAGTTAATATTATTTAATAACAGACTTGAATCCTCTAGAAATTCGGAGAAACTTCTTGAATATTAGTATATATATTTCCTTTTGTTATTTAAGGAACATTAAAAAATTACTCTTCATTCACGCCTGATAAAAATTATTTCAGACAAGTAATATATATATATATATATATATATATATATATATATATAAATTTTAAGTTAATTCCTACTTAGGTCAACAAAGAAAAAATGTTATTTTAGTTACCTTTAATTAAAAAATTACAATTAATATAAATATGTATATACATATGGCAGAATCACAATATTAAGTGGCAAAATAGAAATCGATTTTTCTTGCAATTTTCCTTTTTATGTATGGTATTGGACTATTATTTTTGTTTGTTAATACTTATTCATCAACTAAATTTAACTATCCCAATCAAATAATATAGTGAAAAAAATCACACTCAGAAATTAGTTCATCCTAGATGGGATTCGAACCCACGACCTTTGTATTAAGAGTTCAAGACGCTACCCATTGCGCTACAGGGGCACAACGAGCGACTTTCCTTTCTATATAATATGTTGGACTATTATTTTTGTTAGTTACTAATTATTAATTAATTAATTAATTAATTAATACTTGAAAAAACTGTATTAACATTAAGTGTCATCCATTAAAAGTTTTAAAAATGTATTTGAGCTTCAGTGGATGAATAGAAAGTTTTTTATTAACGATTGAAAATCTGAAGATATATATATATATATATATATATATATATATATATATATATATATATATATATGTGTGTGTGTGTGTGTGTGTGTGTGTGTGTGTAATAATTCCCTCTAGTATCCTTTTTATTAACTCTTTGTCCTGATATATAAATAACTTTACTTCTTTGGTTTAAAAATAACACTTTAATCTTAATCGTAATCGGCTAGTCCAAAATCCCTGTCCCGCCCATTCTATCCAATCAGAACTACAATTACGTAATAACCGCTGCCGATATAAAAGCAAAAATCTAGTGTAATCGCGTCCTTTTTGTCTGCTTGCCTTTATCATGTAATCAGCCAGCTGCCGCGCGTTCTGTGTTTGTGTCGTGATGTTTGCTTCTTGTTATGTGTAATGCCGTCCCTACTTGATCTCTATGAGTTTCAAGATGCAATAAACTGGATTAATGTCCCAGACTGCCACATCTATAGTATTTAATACGTAACATCAACCAACATAGAAAACGTAACTAATATACACTCATTCACTCGCCATCGGCCACGCCCTACCTTTGGTTCGCTACAGTAATAACATCCACTCGCCACGTCTTAGAATTATTTTTACCACTCTCCAGGAATATTATAGAAGAATTACATAAATACATATGTGTGTGTGTGTGCGTGCGTGCGTGCGTGTGTGTGATGCCGGCCGCTATTTCCAAGCCACACCACTAAACGTACTGCGCATGCCTAGGAGCGTTCTCAGTGTTTCGGGAGCCTGCCCGTTGTTAGACGCACTACGACGCTGAACCAGAGACGACACCATGCTGTAAAGACGAGGGGCAAAGACGATAATGCCTCGTGTTTGTTATAAGACGATGTATACATTGAAGACGTGAAACATTAAATAACGAACTGAATGTAAATAGCATGTAAATAGTCACGAACAATTAAATTATAATTAATCAAAGACGACTGTTGTGCATTCACTGAACAGCCCTACACACGCACACACACACACACACACACACATATATATATATATATATACGAGGGTTGCGGCAAAAGTCATGGCAACTATTTTTTTTTCTTGAAGATACCAGCCCGGTTGGAAAATGTGACATATACAGACGAAAGTTCAAGGTGTTAACTACATGTGTGGACAATGGATAGCACTGAAATATCGTAACACACTAATTTATTACGGTAGTATACAGGGCAACATGGCCTTCACGGTGCAAAAAAATGACAACACAGTACACATAAAGTTGACATGGCAAACCTGTCCCTAAAGACCCTTAATGTAGTCCATGGCCCTTAAAGTAATCCATGAGCTGCTCGATGACGGCACGTGCCAAGTCGGTCCGCACACTGACCGGTCGTCACGAACTTTGCTCATCACTGGTTGACACACGTCCTTGCTGAAACTTTCCTATCCACCGTGATACTGTACGGTATGATAGGACATTATTCCCAAGGGCTTCCACTAACTCACTGTGACATTCCATCTCATTTCTCTCTTGGAGAATGGTTATTTTGATGTAAGCGCGCTGCTCAACACGGGCTACTTCCATCTTGCACGACACTCATCAACTGACTGATTTCACAGCCCTCACTGAGCTACTACCAGCTATTACAGAGCCATCTGATGTTCTGCATACGCACTATGTCTGCAGAACTTCCACACGACACATATACGTTTGCGATCCGTTCACATATTTACAAGGAAAAAAATAGTTGCCATGACTTATGCCCCAACCTTTGTATATAGGAAGAGTGTGAACTAATAGAATAGTAGGAATTGAAAAAGGAATGGGGAGAGAGAGAGAAAGTTTTGAAAAAAAAATCTGTACATAGAATATTTTCAAGACAAACTAAAAGTCAATGGTTTACATATTTAGAATTATTCTAAAATAATAACATAACATGTTGTATTACAGAAATGTATTTTTGTTGTATGAGATTAAAATAACTTCAGTCTTATCCAAGCACACACAAATTCCAAAGTACAGTTTATATGTTTAAATATATATAAGAAAATGATGCTTCGTACTTGTTTCATTCACTTTCGAGGAACCTGGTGCAGATGACTCCGTTGATTCCGACGATCCCGGTATACGAGGATGCATGAATGGATGATGCGTTGACTGTAAAAAGTAATACGTTTGTTGAAATTTAGCACAAGTAAATGGAAGACAATTGATACGAACACATTATTAGCTCAATTATGTTTAGTCATTTAATTGCTAAAAGTGTTGGGGTGAAGCGAGTGAACTATTTTTTCTGGCGAAAGAATAACTGTGTGACCCGCCCACGCGCAGTTTTCCCGCTTCACTCCTACGCATTCCTTCTACGGGTTCACTTGCTGACCTGTTGCTGTGTGTTTTGGGGTCAGACTTGTTTGCTGTGTGCGGTATCCGTGATCGTTTTTCGTATTTGTATATAAATAAATGTGCTGTCTAGAGATACCGGAGTGGAAGTAAGTTCACAAAGAACAACAAGTGGTACCAGAGCGTGGATCATCTGTGTGATGTGTTAGTTGACTTAGTGAACTTTAAAAACTTTTTACCTATAATGGATAAAATAACAATTCCCAATTTAAACGGAACGAACTATTTTATATGGGAGCTTTAGATGAAAGCTGCCCTTAGCTTAAAGAGATTACACTCTCTAATCATAAACGAAAAACCTGCAGACCTTAGCCACAAGGACGAGATCGCGTGGCAGTCAAAAAATTTAGACGCTGTATCGTATATAAAGCTATCGCTCGCCGATAAACAAGCGTTGCAGTTCGCGGCGGAAGACAACGCCAAAGTGCTGTGGGATCAAATTAGAGCGACTTTCATCGGGCGCAGCGAAGATCATCAAATTGACGCGGGCAATGAACTCAAGAACATTCTCATGAAAAACGGCGAAACTGTAGCGGATTATATTGCAAGAGCGCGGGGAGAATCGACTAAGTGTCACTCCCTAAGATTGGACGTGTCGCCGAGGGAATGGAGTAACTACATGGATAGACTGACGCCAGTCAGTAATCACGTGATTCCAACGTCAATAAACAGCACGTGCGAATTCATACCATTTATTTTCCTATACGCATCTTGACGTCTTTCTTGTGTCTTAATTTTATCTAATTAAAAACATATGATATCATTGTATTTTTTGCCTTATTCTAGTATATATATTTGTGTTAGGAAATAATTTTAACAACTATTTTATATAATTTTTGTTTTATTCTAATTTATTTATCTAATTAGGTAATTGTCTACTTCCGACTAGTGTTAGCTGGCATATTTGTTTATACTAGTTCGGTTGGATCTAACATTTATTTATATAGTTCATGGTACACATAGGTATGGCTCTTAGTTATTTTAGTTAATTAATTTAGTAGTTATTTATTATATAGTTTTGCGCAAGAATGATTGACAGTATAGAATTAAAACTACTTTTTTAAAATTGTATGATTATCGAATAACATTGATATCATTTCTTTAAAAAGAGCTCACACCTATTATACAACATAGAGTCAGTTAGGTGTGAATAATATAAAAAATGTCTGTTTGTAATTTTAATTAATAATTCAAAGTCAGGAGAAAATATTTATTCTGAATTTTTTTCAATTTGATGATAATTTGTGGGAGGAATGTTTACAAAAATTAAAGAAATGTTTCTTTGATTTTTACCTTCCACACACAAATTATCGATTTCTAAATTATTTATAATTATTCTTTGCTGTTAAAATTTAATGTCATTTATTTCTTTAAATTAAAATACAATATTCTTAAGGGGAATGAAACCATTACAAAAGGGGTAACAATTTTTAGAAATGATTACATTTAATTTGATATGTTGTCTTATTTTTTTGAAGTACATATCAAACTTGCAAAAAAGTTTATTTCTTGAAGCCTGTGTACATAGAACATTAGTTAATATGAAAGTTTTAGATAAATGAATAGAATGATCTTTTGGTAAAAGTGTATTTTATTCCATCATTTTTTTTTTTGAAATCTCGGTGGCTACTTAAGAAGTATCTGTGTGTTTATCCATGCTTTAACTATTTTCCTTTTTTGCACAAATCCTTAAAATAGTTTAATTCCTGAAAACTCAGTATTATGCATGTAAATGTAATTAAGGATGCGAGTATATGATTCATATATATGTCTCCTGTGATGAAAATTGAATTTTTTTACAACTTCATGAATTGCAAATTGTATAATAGTATGGCTTACCAATGGGACATTAAACACTCTATGTGAAGCATTATAAGTGTCAGAAATTTGAAATAATCCCGTAATTTCGGTTTGATTTATCAATACTATAGGAAGTTCTTAATTTTTTTTCCTTTGTACTTATATGCTACCAACTGATAAACCTGTTCTTCACACAGGTGTGAATTTATATATATAAATAATGTTATGCATGAAATTTCTCTCCCCCCCAGTACTTCATTATTTAGAAATGGTAAATAACAATTTTCTAAAAAATATAATATATTTACTCGAGTTTACCTACCTACACTTAAAATTCAAATCAATATTTTATTTCACTGTGGAACAGTTATTTGTTGAAAATGAATTTTTTGTTTACACAATGTATTGCGTATAAGTACTTCATATATATTTTGTACAATATTATGAAGCATTTAAAGCTATTTGAAAATGTTTCTAATAAAATAACATTCCTATCTTTGACTGTCTGATTTACTTAGTAATTATTTTTTAAAAATGTTTGGAAATTTTTTAGAAATGATTGCATAAAGTAATAAAAGAAAATACAATTTCACTATTAAGTTAAAGAAATAAATCATATTAAAATATAATATTTAAAAAATATTCAATG